TAGGTCAAGCCCGAGTTACTAACTGAGCCGAGCTAAGTAACTCTCTGCTGTGTAAATGTTGGCAGAGGAGAGATTGCGCCCGTACCCCCAGCTCCAGCAGTCACCGCTCAGCCCCGCTTGCCTGAAACCGAGTCCAAAAAAAACCCCTCATTTAATACTAAAAGCATTCTTTAGGATTTAATTTACTTTTTTTTTTTTTTCTTTTAAAGAACAGAGTACACACAAGTTCTGGAAAAAAAAATAATAAAGAAATTACCTGCTGGCTCCTCAAAAGATAATGTGGGAGGGATAGGGTTTTTTTTTTGTCAAGGTCAAAAGATTGCAAAGCCCAGGGGAATATTCCTGGAGGGCACAGGGTGCAGGTATGAATTTCCCTGAGAGGGAGCTGCTGGTAGGTGTGTCTGGGTATATAATGTAGAATAGAGCTCATAAAGAGTTTGTTTTTCTTTTTTCTTTTTTCTTTTTTTTCTTTTTTCTTTTTTCTTTTTTCTTTTTTCTTTTTTTCTTTTTTTTTCTTTTTTCTTTTTTTCTTTTTTTTTTTCTTTTTCTTTTTTTTAAATTATTATTATTTTATTTTTTTACTAGGATAATTTATAAGGCGGTAGAAATTTTAACTTGGTTTCTATACACTTCGTTTTTTCTCGATTTCAAATCTCGGAGGCAAAAATTAAAAAGGAAAATAAAAAAAAAAAGCCAAGAGTCCTGCTAATCTGGCTCTCAGAGACAAAAGCTGCTGTGCAGAGCCAGTCCCTGTGGCAAATGGAGAGAGCAGAGGTGGTTTTGGGAAAACGTGTGGGCACGGAGAGGAGTCCTGCCCTCCTCTCCGTAGAGCTCGAGCCCTTCCAGCCTTGCGCAACCAACTTTGAAGTCAAGGCTGAAGTCAACTGGTCCCCGATCATCATAATAATGCAATTAAGCCCTGCTCCGGCTGATGGTATCTATCTGTTTGTTAAAGAAAGATAAATGCAGATCTATAAAGTTCACCCATTTTTCAGTTCCATAGAACTTTTTCTTTTTTTTTTTTTTTTTCCCCAAAAATCTGCTCCAAGCTTTGTGTTTCTCGTGCCCGGTCTCGCTTCTGCAGCGAGTGCTCCCTGAATTTACCTTTCCCATATGGGCATCGGTCAGTCTTCCTTCAGGATGCTCCCCAGACCCCTTGGGCATCAGAAGGAGCGCGAATTAATTTCGAATAATGTCAGAAATGCAGCAGTAAAATATCAGATAGGTTAAGGAAAATTGCAGATCTGAACAGACCCCGATTCGGAGCCATTAAAATCTCAATCTTTAATGCTTTTTTTATTTTTTTTTTTCCAGACAGGTTTTCATTCTTCAATCTAACCAAGAACCAAACCCCAAATGTAGGGCATCGGCAACCTGAATTAGAATATTCCGCTTGAACTCATCTCTAAAAAAAAGATGTCAAAGACGGAATCAATGTAAACATTGAATTCAAGTCGCTTATAGAAATAGCTTCACTTCCTTTTTCTCTGCAGATGGAAAGAGTTGCCTCATGCCTCTCATTCTGCCTACCCAAAAAAAGACAAGGTGCCCTATCTCCCAGGGCAGGGGAATCGGATGACTGGCATTTGTGCTTGGGAAGTCGCTTGAATTTTCTACTTAATTCGATTAATTTTTCAAAGCGCACCATGGAGAGGCGAGCGGCTTCTTTTATTGATTGATTGGCAATCCTGGGCTGCTTTTATTTTATTTTATTTCTTTTTTTTATTTTTCGCAGTTAAAAATGCGAGCGGAATATTTCGGAAGCGGTGGGTTCAGCTTAGCAAAGATAAGCAGGGCTCGGTTCTGGAAGGATTGAGGGAGCCACGGCCGTGAGACTCGGTGTGTTTGTCAGGAACCAGGAGCTGCACGGAGTTCTTTGTCTCTCCCGTGATTGGCATGCGCGGTGGCAATTAATTCAATAGATAGATTTGATATAGATATATTTACACCCCCGAAGTTGCTACCTCGGATGGCAACGCAAATGCCTTTTCGGCATCCCCGAAAGGATAAGGGTGGGCTTGGAAGTGATTAACCACCCTTTGTAGGTCAACTTCTCCCATGAAGCTCCCGATTCAATTGTCAGCCCAGAAAGCCACGGAAGGACCCGGGGTTTGTCGCACGCGTGGAGTGCTGCTAACAAACGGCACGTTTCAGCATTTGCTCCTCTAGGTAGAAAAAAATCCATCAGACGTCTGCCTGGATTCGTTATTCGTCTGTATTTCAAGCTCCCTTTTTTTTTTTTTTTTTTTTCATTCTTTCTTTCTTTCCTTTTTTTTTTCCTTCCCCCTTCTCCTTTCCTGGCTGACGACAAAATATTACGGAGGGGCACTTTTGGGTTTTAAAATACGGACAGCGGTACTCCATGCAGTCAAAGACTCGAACGATTAATGCTACCCTTATGCCTCTTTTGAGTAGTTTTAGCCATGGGGCTTGGCACTGCCACCATTGTCTTTGTGCCAAAAAATATCCGCAGCGGCTGCCGCATTCTAGTACTAGAGGGTTGTCTCGAAAATTCCGCAGTGAATGCGTCGGGTGTCTACATCGCCGTAGACGCTCTCTCTTTTTTAAAACATTAAAAAAAAAAAAAAAAGGGAAGGGAAGAAGGGGGAGAGGGAATCTTTAGCTCTCGGGAAAGGCGCAGCGCAGGCTGCGGTGCTCGAGCGCCTGAAAACGATGCATTAAATGTACAGTAACCGGGGAAATTCGGGAGCAGCTTTTGTAGCTGCCGAGCACAAATAGTTGCTCAAAGAGCCTCCCCTCGCATATTATCAGCGCTCCCGCAAATTTTATTATCTGAAACAAATGTGCCAGTGAATTTTAAGCAGAAAATCAACATCAAGACTGTAGCTAATTTGAAATGGACAGTTTATACAAAAGATATTCCTCTCCCCCCCCTCTCCACCCCCCCCCTTTTCCCGAAATGAAGTGTCGGTACAAAAAGTATGATAATTTCATAATTACAGGCGGTGGTGAAAATCCGTGTGTGTGTGGCTCTTTGGAACGGTTTTCTTGACTTTTTGGTGAATTTGGGGTGCTTTATTCTTAAGAGAGCAGGCGGATCCCTGGCTGCACGCGGGGACAACACCACCAAGGAAACGGAATAAAGTTAAAGGCTTCCACCCGCCGGATGAAACGCGCTCACTCCTCATCTCCAAAGCTATCCGCTCGGTGGTAAAAGTGGATGCTGGAGATGAAATCTTTACAAGGAGCATAATCCTAAAAAAAAAAAAAAAGAAAAAAAAAAGTCAATCTCCTGCTGGCTGCTGTGCCGCTTTGGTACCTCACAGACTTCGACAGAGTCCTGGACGAGTGCCCATTGATGTCATGGAAACACTCAAATTACTGAGAATGATTCATGTCTATGCTGTTCTCTTATCCTCCCCCACACAAATAGAAGTAGATTTTAACCCTGACAACTTGTAATTTGCAGCGGGTTTATTTTTGTATCGGGATAAATATTTTTTAACAACTGAAATTAAGCCCAGGCTTGCCTGTGGCTGATCCGATAGGGAACGGGGGCTGCCGGCAGCCGGGCAGCAGCGCGAGGAGCTCGAGGAGCCCCCGGCGGGGCCGCGTGCGCCCCTGCCCCTCGCCTTGTGGGGCTGCCACTTCGCCCCTAAAGCGCGGGGGTCCCCCCCGGGTTTAAGCGAGGGGTTTAGGTGGCAGGCGACAAAAGCAGGGACAAAAAGAGGGGCGGCCAAGCAACAAAAGGAAGCTCCGGGCTTGGATTATTCTAGGGGAACGGCAGGGGTTTGTTCCCAGCCTCTGTGCCAGCCGAGCGCCCGGTGTGGCTAGCGAGGAGGTGTGCTCGGCCACCTAGGTGTGCTGGGTGATTTGGGATCTGGTGTGAGCTCTCCCATCCTTTGTCTGTCGCTCTGCCTCCCCGTGGGCTCTGTGGGAAATGGGGACGGGGCTGGGAAGTCCCAGCAGCGGCGCTGCCAGCCCTGGGCACGCGTGTGTGCCGCTAGCCCCCCGTCCCCATGCCCCTGGAATTGCTTCTGGGACCATCCGAGGCTTCTTGGAGACGTCCAGCGGGTGACACGGTGCTGTCGGGGCCGTGTCTTGGGGTGTGGGTTCGTCAGGGTGGCACTGGGGTCGGAGGGAGCATCCCGTCCTGGGGCACTGCTGGTGCTCCAGCCGCCGGGAACAACTTGGATGGCACGAGTGAATTTTTTTGCTGCCTTCTCGGGCGTTGTGCGAGATGATGCCTCCCCCCGCCGGGATTCTCCTCACCAGAAGGGTGGTCTTTTAGTGTCAATATGTTTTGTATCAGCCCTCTTGACTGCTCTTTGTCTCACTAGCACGTGGTGTAGCGCTACTCAGCCGTGACTTAATGCTCTGCAGAAACCACCTCTTCCCTCCTCGCCTTTGCTCAAGCCTGGCCGTTCCCACCTGAAAGACCCTCGCTTTTCCTTTGCAAACACGCCGTAACCCTACCGCTGCTGCACGCCAGGCCGGCAGGGACGCGTTTTAAAGCCTTCCTGGGGGGAAAAAAATCAAAAAGGAGCGAGAGGGAAGGGCGGCTCGGGGCTGGCAGAGCGTCGCGGCAGCCGCTGGGCCCCCGTTCAAGTCCCCGCGCCGCTGGGGCGGCCGCAACTTGGGCAGGGGATGGCAAATTTCCAGCCCGGTGTCCGGCTGCCAGGTGCCGGGAAGGAATTTCCCCGTCCCAGGGATTGATGGAGGGGCTGTGCAGGTGCCCCCCGGGGAGAAAAAGGGCAGCACTCGGCACGGGGCAGAGCGGGGGCTCTCCGCATCCCGGTTTCTGGAGGTGCGTGGGGCGGTGCCGCGGGGGTTAGGAAGTTTCTTGCACGGTGCCATCCTCAGCTGGAGCAAACCTTAATCCCTTTCTGCTGCCTCCGTGCATTACGCAGCCGGCAGGGCCTATTTTACATACGGAAACAGCACGGGGAAACGTGGGGAGCGTGGTGTAAAACATTCGGAGCCGCCCAGGCTCTGTTTGGATCCGTTACACACCTATTTGTCTTCTCTTTTATCAACAGGTAAAACAGAAAGGGGCTCGTACTCGTCGTATGGAAGAGACTCGAATTTACAGGGTTGCCACCAGGTAAGTGGAAGGCTGCTCAGCAGCGAGCTTGTGATAAATACTCCGCGAAACGAGGCTCGTGGCTGAAATTTGGGCATCCCGGAGACGGGCACGGCGAGGGCTGCGAGCACGGGCTCCGTCTGCCTCCTTTAAAGCTCCTGCCCGAGCCGTGCTCGCCAGGATACGCTTCCTGGAGGCTGACCTAACACTGCCCTGGTCCACGCTGCTGCAAACTATTGATTCTTGTCCCCCCCCCCGTAACAATGCTGCAGTGTTTTCGGCGCGGCGGCTCCTTCCCAGCAGCGCAACTCCAGGAAAGGCACCGCAGAGCTGGTGTCGGCCCCCAGCTTTGGATGGCTACCGCAATAAATTATAGTTTTCCTCGAATCTGTATGATGTTGTGTGAAAACAAGGTTGTATTGAGGGATAAAAATGTCTGTGAAAATATGATTTGTTGTCCCTTTTTGTTTCGGAATTGTTTTTGGCTGGAAGTCAAGGCCAGCAGGCTAACAGCAAAGCCGTCTCAAGGGAAGCATGCGTGAGCTAGAAAAATAAGAGTAGTTTAATTAAATAATAAAATGCCAATGTAATACAAAGGTATAGCATGTGTGTGTGTGCCTCTGTGCACTTTGCATTTGCATACTTTTAAGTCTCCAGAGAAAGTCGGAGTCTAAAAATACTATCAATAGCCTCAAGTCTGTGCTTTGTTTCGAGACAATTGATTTTTTTTAAAAGACACTTTCTTTTTAATTTCGGGAGCAATATTAATCATGTGTTTAAATTCATTTTGCTCACGAAGAGTGCCAGGCTTCCTTTTTTATTTTTTTTTATTTTTTTCTGAGCGTGGCAGCTTCTTACTTTTGGGAAAGTATTGAAAGAGTTTAATGGCCTCCTTAATATTCAGAGCTTTCCGCTGTTGAAATATGCCAGGAGAGAGAAAAAAAAATAGGAATATGGGGATGCAGTTGGTTTTTGTGTTTTGAAAACAAGGCTAGGAGCTGGCAGGACGCATGGCGCCCGGGGTCCGTCCGCACATGACTTTCAGATTTCACCTCAAAATGCGCCTTTTCTTCGCTGTCTCTCGGTTTTCTTTCAACCTTCCCATATTGGAAAGGGCTTGTAATACCCAAAATAAGTCAGAGATGAGTTCAGAATGCCTTGTCCCAGGCATTAGAGCCGAAACCTCGCCGATTCCAGTAGTCTCATGGTGTCCAAAGAGTGCTCTGCGGTCCTGTAGGGTCAGCTGATGGAGAAAACTTACTGCCCTGCCTACCCTCTCTCCTTTTTTTTTTTTGAAAAATTGAAGAATATTAGGTAAATATTGCAAAAATAACACGCATAACAGAATTTCCAACCCGGGGAATTTTCTTTCTGCCCATGCATCCGCTTTGGTGAAGTGTAACGGAGAAGGGGATGAAGCAGCTGACCAATGGCCAGCCGTGAAGGAGAGGAGCTATTTCTAAAAATAAGAACCTCTTGAATTCCTGAAAGGTACAGAAGGAATAATGCTGAATGCCAAGGCTGGACCATCTGTTGTCTGTTCTCCAGGCTGCAGAACTATCAGGATCCACCAAATTATTAACAAGCCTGAACCTTCAGGCTGGGAAGAAAATTTCAAAACTGCAAAGTCTACTGCGAGATTTCCGGGACGTGCTTTCGTGTGTGCTGAGAAAGATGAGCTAACCTAGACAGGAGATGCTGAGGAAGAGGATATTTGGTCAATTCCAAGGAAAATATCAATGGTGATGATACAGAAAATTAAGAATACCCTGAAACTTGGAGTTTTCTGAGGGCCCTGTGCAGCGGGAGGAGTCGCGTGCGCTCCTTTTTCCGAGACCCAGGAGGAGCGTGCAGATTTTGTTGATTTCTGAAAGGTAAATTGCTACCTCCAGATGTGATGCATTGCTCTCTGTAGATGAGTTCCTGGAACAATTAAGGAAAACTAAATACCTAACGATATTGAACTTGCTACCTATTAATCTTCTGGTACGAAAAAAACCACCAACCCCTCTTGGTGCAGACGGCAGCGGCGAGCTGAGGTTTCCTCCCCGTGCTCTGCTCACGCCAAGGAGAAGAGGTCGGGCACACGGCGAGCCATTTACTCCAGGATGGGTTTTATTCCCGAGCCCAGGGCCCAATTCTGCTCTCACGGAAAACTGTAGTAAATACGACACTGATTACAGTGGGAATGGAGGCAAGCTCATCTTGGGAACCATTTAATTCCATTAGAGAGAAGGCAGCAAAGAAACATGTACCCAAGTTGTTGTCAAGGCACTTTTGAAATACTGGCTTCATTCGAGTTAATGACAAAAACCTCATTTCATTCAGTCAAGTCAGGATTTTGTGTGTTGTCTTAATTCTGCGCTCCTCACCATCTCCCCGCAGATCCATTTTTTTTCCTTATTGGGCCGGTTTGGGGGGCATTAGCAAGGCAGTGGCATTTAATAACGTGCTCCTCCTTTATCCATCTAACTTTATCCTGGTTCCGCGCTTCGGCTTCCCAAATGATAGATAAAAACATTACTTAAATAACACGATTTAAAACTAAAAAAGCGGTTGTGAAACGTTGATTTATCTTTCTGCCAGAGGGTCTGGATATCCAGAATATCGTTGCTAGACTCGGTAGCGTGTGCTGCTCGGCGTAGCGAGGATCCACTCATCGGTTAATAGGCGATGGGATCGACTTTGAATAATCCAGGGCCACCGCGCTTTTCTGGGCAATGCTTAATTCCCAAAAGCGCTGAATAAAGAGACCTGGAAAGTGAGCTCGATGGCCAGAAAGCATCCACCGTAGATTTCCAAGGCAACGCATGAGATTGTCGGGGGGAATAAATTAAGAGTTCCTGGCCAATTTGGATGATGCCTTTTTGGCAAGGGCAGAGGGAAGGACGTTTGGCATGAGGTGCTTTAACTTCAAGCAGAACCCCCAAGTCCTGGGATGACTTGGTTTTTCTATTAGGAAAGTGAGCCTCGGTGTTGGTTTTGGCTGTGCTGCTTTACTCAGTGTTGCAGAAATACTCCGAGGCTGGCTGGAGCCAGCCCATCTCCAAAGCTGGGTCAGGAACGAAGCGTTAAGGTAAAGCCAGTCGAGTTACACAAGCTCCGCCAGTTTTTGCTCTTTTTTTTCGGGTTTGTTTTTAAATACCTGCTCCCAAAACGTAATAAATCCCGAATGAGATCACATCGGCTGGACTTCAGCTTGACTCAAGGCACCGTGGTACAGGGAAGGGCTGCCAAAGGGAAGGCCACAGGCTCCCTCCTGACCTCCTTGCTGTGTGCCTGGGCTCCTCTCTCCTCTCCATCCTTCCTTCCCTTGCTCCCCCATCTCTCTGGAGCATGGTGGCAGGGAAAAAAGGGTCACACATCATGGGTGAGTGGGATCCCAGCGCGTCCAAACTCCACGGGACTTGGCGAGCCTGAGAGGAGTCCCTGGCACAAGCCTTGGGGTTTTAATTTTTGAACCTTCGAGGCTCCATTGAGCAGAGCAGGGGGTGTTTATAACACACCTTTGACAGGGATTTTGTACAGGGGCGATGGAAATATTGCTGGAAAACTTGAAAATGAGCATAATGGGGGATGAAAGACCGAGGCAGCTTCTGTGGCAAGTGCGTGTGGATTAATTCAGCCCAGCTGCCCGTGCCTGTGTGCCCACGAAGTGTGTAAATCCTCGCATAATGGCGTTCTCATGCTGAGGAGGGAATGGCCAGAAATAGCGATTGCCCATTTTCTTTTTTTTTTTCCTTCCCCAAGTACTGGGACTTCCTTTTTCTGCTGTGAATTATTGAATTGTTGCAACATCTCTAATTATGTGAAGAGGAGTCCAAGCAAAGAGAGAAAGGGAGAGGAAAAAAAAAAAAAAAAGAAAAAGAAAAAGCAAGGGGGGGATTATCTTTTTATCTGCTATGTACTTTTAAAAGGCCCTTCTTCAGTGCTTCATTCAGCACGAGATTGAGCCTAATGCATATTCCGAAATCAGGCTTCCGACTGAAGCCACTGCAGAATAACTGCTGGAAAATGCTGGTAGCATTGCACAGGGGCTTCGGGCAGCTCGGAGACCTCCCAGCTGAACTCACAAAGGCTGACCCGTGCATTCAAATGCTATTTTTTTCTTCTTTTTTTTTCTTTTTTTCTTTTTTTTCATTCAGCAGCACATTCTTCGCTATCTCGCAGAGCACTTTGGGGTTTTGTTTTTGGGGTTTTGTTTTTGGGGGTTTGTTTTTGGGGTTTTGTTTTTGGGGTTTTGTTTTTGGGGGGTTGTTTTCTTTTTTTTTTTTTTCTTTTTTTTTTTTTTAATGGCCTGACCACATTTTCCTAGTAAACAGTAAAAAAAAAAAAAAAGGCAGCGCTCTGGCTGCAGCCAGGGAAGGTGTGAGCAGGGGTTGTGTGCGTGTCAGCGCCCAGCACCGCTGCGCTCGGAGCTGCTTCTCATTTGTACTTCGTTCAGGGCAAAGAATCTTTGCGGTTTTATTGGGATTGTATACAATAAGTTATTAAATTTCATCTCTGTAATACACCTGCAGTAAAATAACAAAACATTACTGCACTTAAGGAACATGTGTGTGTGTTGCAATGTTCCACCCCTCCCTTCCCAACAGCTGCTTACGGATTTCAAGATCCATTGTATGTATTCCCCAGAGCCCACCTCTAATAATCGAGACACATCTGCCATTGCAGTGTTATAGGCATATGTAGTTTTATTGAAAACTATACCTGTATAAAAAAAAAAATTAAATAACTCCTACCGCAATTAAATTGGCAAGCTACCTTTTCTGCAGATCATATTGCAGACCTCTGGAGACGCGGCGAGTTCATTTGATTCTTCTGTTACAAATCACTTAGTCGTTTTTTGCTTAGTCAAATAACGAGATTTCCTCACGGTTTGATGGCGAGATTCCTCTGCCTATAACAATTCCTCCATCCCTAGAAAAACACACAGAAAAGCAATCCTGAGATGATAAAAAGATACCTAATGTACCAAGGAATGCGGGTCCTACAAAGTCTATTGCTAATCCGTTTTTGTG